CCCCGATATGCCCTACCATTCAAAAACATTAACTCAGCCAGAAAACCACCCAACACCTTTTTGTTTGCCTGTCTATGGTGAGGAAAAACTTGGGTTCTTGAACATGTATGTTTATCAATAAAAGTCCTAACTTGAAACATTTCACAATCTTTTATCCTCTTTGCAATCATACGCCACATACAGTTTTTGTCAATCATACACCTTGTTTCGAAACGATCTTTGCTTAATTTGTTAACTTTTAGTTGATAGCCATCTTCCACACATTTAGTATACAAAGCTATCTTCAAGTCTTCCTTTGTATCAAAACAATCATCTTTCTTCATACGAATAATTTTTGTGTAACAATCAACTGCTATCTTTACCAACTCTTCTTCCGGTATCTGAAGTAATTCTGGCATATTCCAGTTATACTCCCGTGGCATTTTCTTCGGGGACTTTTCTTTGGGGATTTCTTCTTCTTCTTTTTCTTCTTCAGTGTTATATGAATTACATAATGGATGTTCAACATGTTCATTTATAGTCGTAACTTCCTCCTCATTATCATCAACAACATCTTCCTCGGCAATGGCTGTTTCATCATCAAAATTCGGGTATTGACCAATATCAAAATCATTACACGCAGTGTCTGTTTCTTCTTTTGAAAAATCATCAAAATCCGAGTATTGACCAAGATCAAAGTCCGGGTATTGACCAAGATCAAATTTCAAATACTGACTAGTACTCATAATTTTTTCTGTTGGCTCATCATCATCTAACTGGTCAATACGAAAACCGGAATTTGGTGCTGAAAGTTGATTTGGATTTGGATTAGGGAAAGGTTGTGTTTGGTATTGGAAATGTGGTGAAACAATATTTGCTTGGTGATGAAATTGTGGTGGAACCACTAAATTTTGAGCACCATAAACTGGGGTTGAAAAACTTAGTTGATTACTTCCCGCTACTGACCCAACTTCACTACTTCTAGGTTCAACAACATACAATGTAACATCATCACTTGAAACACTGATGTAAGCAATGAATCGTTCAACATCTTCATTGTCGGTTAACAAATAAACTTTACCATTTCTCCGATAAGATAGCCTAAATCCACTTAGGGGCTCTAAATTCAATTTATTTGCAACACGTAACATTAGAGTTTCATAAGTTAACTTTTTTAATGACAGTTTTAGTTGAAGATTCATGGGTAAAGGCATATATTGTAAAACACCATGAACATTCTCCCATGACCCTCCAAAACACAAATCTATCCAAACATGATCAACATTAGATGATTTCATTATTGTAAATTAATTTACTAAACAAACGAGCTGCGAAACTAAAACCTATTGTCGGATGGGGAAGGATGTCGTTGGATATAGGAACAGATGTCGCCGGAGAGAGTGATAGATGGAGATGGAATGAGTTGTGATTTAGGGATTTAGGTTATGAGTTGCTGCTGCTGCGTAGTTATATACATAAAACATTTGTGTTGCGAAATTAAAACCTGTTGCGAATTCAGAAATCGAGTTGCAAATTTGAAATTCAGTATTGCGATAGTCAGAATCTCGTTGCGATTTACAGATTCGCATTGCGATTTACGTATTCGCATTGCGATTTACGTATTCGTATTGCGATTTACGCAATCGCATTGCGATTTACGTATTCGCATTGCGATTTACGTAATCGCGTTGCGATTTACGTATTCGCATTGCGAATTAGGAAAATCACAACGCGAATTTGGGAAATCGCAATGCGATAGTCAGAATCGCGTTGCGAATCTGGAAACTGATTTGCGATACCGGAGATCGCGTTGCGAATTATCGATCGCGTTGCGATTTACGGATACGCGTTGCGATTTTACGTATTGTCGTTGCGATTTACGGATACGCATTGCGATTTACGTATTCTCATTACGATTTACAGATACGCGTTGCGATTTACGTATTCTCGTTGTGATTTACGGATACGCGTTGCGATTTTACATATTGTCGTTGCGATTTACGGATACGCGTTGCAATTTTACGGATACTCGTTGCGATAGTCAGAATCGAGTTGCGATTTATATGTTCGCGTTGCGATTTTCATATTCGCGTTGCGATTCTGGAAAATCGCAATGCGAATTTGTACTATCGCATTGCGATTCTTCATAATCGCGTTGCGATTCTGGGAACTGATTTGCGATTCTGGAGATCGCGTTGCGATTTTTATTTCGCATTGCGATTTTGTTGGTCATTTTGGCAAATCTAAAAAAAGTTGGTTAAAATCGTATATTATAAGGCATTTTTGGTCACTGAGGCGATTTTCTCTTAATATAATAGGTATAATGAAAAAATTAATCACAACATTTGAATAGAATAATCATTATATTCTTTATTCTTTTCTAAAAGGTAAACTATACCATTCCATACTGAACTTTACTCTATTTCTTATTTTACTCACTGAATTTTTGAATTGTTTTTATTTTGATCACTCTGAATTGTTTTATTATTATTTTGATAAGATGTGGCATTTATTATTTTTATTTAATATAAAATAAAAACAAAGGGTGGTCGTCCATTGTTCATAACTGTTGGACGTCACCGTCAAATATCGTAGATGTGGTCATTCGGTTCAATATTTATTGATTGTTTCGTCTAACCCCCTGAGTCCAAATCTGGCCTCCATTTTGTTGGAACATACTCCAAATCCGATCAAAAGTGAGAAAATCGAAACACTGGTCGTTGTTGACCGCCTTAGATGGCGGTTGTTCGGTCTCAAAATTCAACAGTCGCATATCCTTAACCCCCTGAGTCCAAGTCCAACCTCCATTTTTGTTGGAACATGCTCCGAAGTCCACAAATAAGTGATTGAATGTGAGGAAACCAAAATATTTTAGTCGAGATTCATGTGTTTTATGATATTTTTCGGTGAAACAACCACTAAATTCGACTTAGTGTGTCAAAGTGAGTCTCTCGGTACAATTTGGGATCAAACGGTTGCCGGTTCTGAAGGCCAACGGCGGTCGACGGTGACGAGAAGGGACGCTTGTGATGTTGTAGATGGTGGAGAAGTGAAAATATTATTATTATTTATTTTAAATTATTTATATTTTAATAATAATAAAAATGTCACGTCATAGAATAATAATAATAAAATAATTTGTTGTGGCCAAAACAAGAGCAATTCGAAAGTTCAGTGAGTAAATTAGAAAATTGAAAGTATAGTGACTGAAATAGGAGAGAGAGTAAAGTCCAATAAAGAATGGTGTAGTTTACCCTTTTTAAAAATATTTTAGTAATTCAACGTTTCAAGTTTTGGTCAAATTAACCTTTGTTAGATAAATTGTTAGTTGACTACTTGTTAACATATGTTATTAAAGTGATGTTTTTACATATATTTAATTGATGACATGATATATTTTACCTTAATAAAATAATGATGTGACATATACTAAATCACCCAAATTAATGCTATAGTATGTACCAAGTCGCTCAAAGTGTTTTTACCTTGATTTAGAAGTATATTATGGTTTATTTATTCATTTATTCACCACTCCTATCATTTCCAAACTTTGATCTTAAAGTTATTGTATTTGAGAGAGTAAATTTTTTTATCATTATATTAAATATTCATTGCTAGATAAAAATGAAATTAAGTTAAAATTAACTTAACCGATCAATTTAGTTAATTCAAATATTTTGGTTAAGTTGATTTTAGTTTTGATTATGTTTTTTGGTGGTTCGATTATTAAAATTACCAAATAGACTAATTTAATTAATTAAATATATTACTTTTAATTATTTTAAATATATATTTAAAATTTGTAATTAAAAATATAAGCGGATTAATCAAACTAATTAATTATTTAAGATTTGATCATCATGATAAACATTGTGCATGTTCCCATGCCTGTTTGGACCACTTATAAGAATGTCAAACCATTGCTATGTCATCATTCATCAAGCTGCTTTATTATTTTTCATTTATGGATTGCTTCTTCCATTTCTTTGCTTAATACTTTACTAATTATAAATATTTTATCTTTAAATATCAAGTCCCTACTCAATACATCATTTAAGCTTTAAAGAAACTCATATTCTCTTTAATAATTGAGTCTTGGATTATTTTTTCTTTGATTACTATCTATTTCTGCATTTTGTTTTAATTACATAATTATTTTGATGATCAATTTGATAAAATATGTAAAATTTGATGATTATAACTATTATTATACCATGTAACATAGTTTGTTCAATTAAGTCAACGCTTAATTTTAATGGTGGGTGATCAAAACAGAAATGAAACATAATATTAGATATAATTTAAAAATAAAACAATTAAGTGACCAAAACAAAATTAAGATTAAAGTAAAAAAAGTAATTAAACTATATTTTTTTTGTTTTAAGCCCCTAAACTATTTTCTTGAACAAAATAAGTCATTACACTATTATTTGTAATAATTCTAATCTTGCTATTATTTTAGTTAGAAAATTTTCTTTATGTCAACGTGACATGTCATATAAAACTAAATACTTATTTTAATTAAAATAATTATTTAGAGATTCAAAACGATATAGAAGCATAGTTTAAAATTCTATTCTAAAAAAATTAGATACTTAAGTGATTATATATAATAAATTAAAATTTTATTTTGATAAAATTAATTTAAAGACAAAAAAAATATAATTTAAGAATTTATTTTTTATTTAAGCCAATAAATAAAAAATAAATAAGTGAATCAAATAAATCGTTTAACTTCAAAGAAAGAAGAAAAGAAGGTTGAACATGAACATTTCCATCACCCATGGCAAAATAAAAATGTTAGAAGTTAAACTTTATCAAAATCAAATGATTTCATAAAAGAATTATTATTATTCTTTAAAATTCTAAGTTAAAATACTATAAATATATTAAATGATTTAATATTATCTTGGAATAAATATTATTTTATATTTAATTTAAATTAATAAAAAAAATGACGTCAGCTCAACTTTATTAATTGGTGGAAGAGAGGAGCGCAACGCATCGCACCAAATATACAAACTCTCGTCAATCAGCTTCTCTCGTCTTCTTTTTTGTATACTTTCGTCTCTCCACAACCACTGTTGTTTCCTTGTTCATCTGCAACTTCAGAATATCTCATTCCTTTTCTATCTTCAATTGCATGTGAACCCCAAATTTTCATCCTTGGAATTTGTAGAAATGGTGATGTCAAAGCGTAGCCATAGGTTTTTCAAGTTCAGAATTCTAGTTTCTTTCCGTATTCAAATTCCCAGCTATCAAAATCTTTTCAAGTTTTAAAATTTTCCTTCTTTCAATCCCCAGAAAACGGTTCTCCTTCACAAAACAAGGATTTTTTTTTATCATTTCCTCAATCTAAAGCCTTTTCTTTTATTTACCCCTACACCGACCCACAGTTTTGTTTTTTGGCTTTGGGTTCTTTTTTTCCACCAATAGATATTCTTGAATACTGTGTTTATCTCTGGAAAAAGACTAAATGGTTTCCAAGGACTACTACTTGTTCTTACGAGCAGTTGTGGAAATGGCTTGGATTATGCTGAGTGTGGATTACTGGAGGCTGTTTTGGTTATTATTTGGTGTTTTTTCCTACGAAAATCATGAAGGAAAGCCTCGGATCACCTAGCACATCTTCAAAATTTTCTTTCTTTACCTGCTGCCTTGTTCTTGAGTTTCATATTCCAGTAGCTAGATAACTATAATATTCGTGTTTTCAATATATATAGACATATTACAATAAGCCCGACAGCTTTTCACGGTGCCTGATTTCTCAGACCATGTACCAAACACGTCTAGGTGGATGTGATGATGGAGTTAAATCTCAGCTTGGATACGTTGAAACCGACCCTTCCGGTCGGTACGGACGTGTAAGCTTTCTTCTTCCTTCTCTCTAAATTTTCCGGGAAAATTTGAGAAATAGTTTTTGATGATAATATCAAAGTAGTGAAGCATGTGTGTAAATGAAATTATATGCATGGTTTAAGCTTTTTAACATGATTGAATCTGTGGGAATTTTCTCTGCAGTTTAGAGAGATTCTTGGTAAAGGAGCTATGAAGACTGTGTATAGGGCATTCGATGAGGCCCTAGGAATGGTGGTGGCATGGAATCAAGTCAAGCTTAACGATGTCTTCCGTTCACCGGACGAATTGCAGAGGCTTTATTCCGAGGTTTACCTCCTCAAGAATGTCAACCATGATTCAATCATTCAATTCTACGCAACTTGGATCGATGTCGATCGGAGAACATTCAACTTCATCACCGAGATGTTCACCTCCGGCACACTTCGAGAGTAACCACATCGGACTTTACTATCAATTGAAAATGTCACATTGGTGTTGTTTTAGTGTATGTTTTAATATGTTGTTTGATATAATACAGGTATAGACAGAGGTACCAGCGTGTAGACATGCGAGCAGTTAAGAGCTGGGCTCGTCAAATTCTGCAGGGTCTAGCTTATCTGCATTGCCATGACCCTCCAGTGATCCATAGAGATCTTAAGTGTGATAATATCTTTGTCAATGGCCACCTCGGACAAGTCAAGATAGGCGATCTCGGACTAGCTTCCATTCTTCGTGGCTCACAACATGCTCATAGTGTCATAGGTATGCTCTAAATTTCCATCATCTGTCTGATTTCTGGGTATCTTTATATGTTACTTTCTTCAAACTTGCACACAATACTAGGGACACCAGAATTTATGGCACCGGAGCTATATGAGGAGTGTTACAACGAGCTAGTCGATATATACTCCTTTGGCATGTGTTTATTAGAGATGCTTACTTCCGAATATCCGTATAGCGAGTGTCGTAACCGATTTTCGTCCGGGCACGAAATATTAATTTTGGCGGGGAAATTGAGGTGAATAAATAATTTTGAAAATAATTTGTGAGTCGCCATCGGCCTTTTGAATCAGGTAGGTCGAATACCTAAAAATTATCTTTTAAAAGAGTTTTTAAGAAAACCATATTTAAAAGATGAACTGATCTGCATTTTTATAACCAAAAATTCGTTCTTTTTAATAAAAAAGGGATTCGTGGTCGGTTACGTTTAAGGAAGGATTAGCACCCTACAACGCCCAAAATTGGTACTTTTTAATTATAAATTGTCTCTATTATTAAAATTTAAAAATACAAAAATATATTTAATTTTATAATCATATTATTTCAAAATTATATAAAAAATATTTATTTATTTAAAAATATCCGAAAAGAACTTCTAGGTGCCTTAAGACAGCTCTTTTCTTTGATATTGATAAATATAAATTTCAAATAATATTGTTTACTTTTTAATTAAAATATCAGAATAGGACATCCAGTTGTATTAAGACTGTCCTTTTTCTTCGATATTAAAAATAAATTTAAAAAAAAATACTATTTATTATATATTTATAAAAATATTTAACAATAAAATAAAAATACTACTAAAACAATATATTTAAAAACAATAAAATAAATGAAGACATATAAAATAAATAACTAAATTATAATTAAAATAAAACTAAATCTAATTCCTAATTAATTGAAATTATAGGGATTAAATATTTTATTTTCTAATTTAATAATTTAATGACCAAAATAAAATTATCTAAAATTCGAATTTTATAATAAATTAAATTAAAAATATGAACTAGGGATTAAAAAATTATTTATTAAAATTAAGGGATTAAATTTGTCATTTATCCTAAATATATTATTTTAATAAAAAAGACTAAAATGAACAAAATTAAAATTCAAAGACTGAATTAAAATTATTATAAATTCAGTTTAGTGACCAAAATATAAAATTTACAAGTTGGGAGGACTACAGACGGGATTTAACTATTTTGTAATTACGCGCATAGTCCTTCCCGAAACGACGTCGTTCGGGAAGGACTATAAATGGTCCAAACCGGCTGGCCCGAAGGGCCAGCCATTTCATTTCTTCTTTTTTTTCTTTAAGCAGAAAGAGAGAGAGAGAGAGAGAGAATTCTCTCTGGCCTCTCTCTAGATTCCCTCACCGGAGGGAATCCGGCAGCCGTCTGCCGCCGCGAGTGTCCCCGCCGGCCACCGCATCCGGTGGCCGGAAAATTTATTTTTATACTATTGGATAGATCGGACCGTCCTAAGGACGGTTCCGATGTTCTTTTTCCTTAAATGGCTCCCAATCGGAGCAGATCTATAAATATACCTTCGGTATTTTCGGTTCTCCGGCGATGTTCAGTGTTTCCGGCGACGGTCAAGGCTTCCTTGGTAAGCTTCTCTCCTCTCTTTTTCCTTCTGTTTTTGTTTTTGCTCTGTTGGGATCGTTGGTAGTTTTATATCTCTCTCTATTTTCCTTTTTTTTTCTTTTTGGTTCTGTCTCTGTCCCTGGTTTTTTTGTCTCTCTTTTTCTTTTTTTTCTTTCGCAGATGGGTGGTGGCTTTTATAGCCACCACCGGTGTTCGTCTCAGACCGGTCCGAAGAGGGGGCCTCGGTGAGTCACCGGACTACCAGTGGTGACTCACCCCGTAGCCTTGCATGGACGGCTGGCGTTGATCTTCTGGAAGCATCATTCGGGACGTGGCAGCGGCGGAGGCGGTGAGGGCTTCTGGAAGCAGCAGCGGCGGCGCTGGGACGTGTCCCTAGGGTATAGATACCCTAGGGTTTCCTCTGGCAAATGGTGGACCGTTGGATCAAACCAGATCCAACGGTTGAGATTGAAGATGGCGGCTGGCTAGATTAGGGTTAGGAAACCCTAACTGGAAACCCAAATATTTAGGGTTTCTGGTTGGATTTGGACCGGCTCTGGTTGGTTTGTAACTGGGCCGGTCCAATTGTAATTGGGCCTGTAATTATATTTTTTATTATTTATTTATTTTTAATATATTTATATGTATTTAATATATTTAATAATATAATATAATAATAATAATAATAATAATAATGATAATAGTAATAATAATAATAATAATAATAATAATAATATAATATAATAATAATAATAATAATAATAATAATAATAATAATAATAATAATAATAATAATAATAATAATAATATGGATAAAAATTAGTATCTTCAGCTGCCCCTCTTTGCTCATTCTTGTGTTAACAAGAATAGGGCAAAGATGAAAAGATAATAAATTTTTTTTATCCATTTGACTTTACTTTGATCATAATGGAGATATTGAATAAATTCTTCTCTCTCTCCAAATAAGTTCTTCTTATTATGAACTTTCTGCTGGGGATAATGATAACCTCCTTTCTGTGATAGAGTCATTCAAAAGGTTGAATAAGCTCTTGATGAGTTCTTCTCATTATGAACTTTCTCTAGAAAGGCTGATGTTAATCTATCTCCTTCTGTGATAGAATTATGCCAAAAGTTGAACAAGTTCTTCTTATTATGAACTTCTTCTTTCTTCTTCAGATGAGTTCTTCTCATTATGAACTTCTCCGGAAAAGATAATCCATCAATTGATGGATTCAGGTAAAAGGTTGAACAAATTCTTCTCATTATGAACTTCTTCTTCTTTCTTCAGATGAGTTCTTCTCATTATGAACTTTTTCTGGAAAAAATGATCCATCAAGTGATGAATTCAGGTAAAAGGTTGAACAAATTCTTCTCATTATGAACTTCTTCTTCCTTCTTCAGATGAGTTTTTCTCATTATAAACTTTCTCTGGAAAAGATGATCCATCAAGTGATGAATTCAGGTAAAAGGTTGAACAAATTCTTCTCATTATGAACTTCTTCTTCATTCTTCAGATGAGTTCTTCTCATTATGAACTTTCTCTGGAAAAGATGATCCATCAAGTGATGAATTCAGGTAAAAGGTTGAACAAATTCTTCTCATTATGAACTTCTTCTTCCTTCTTCAGATGAGTTCTTCTCATTATGAACTTTCTCTGGAAAAGATGATCCATCAAGTGATGAATTCAGGTAAAAGGTTGAACAAATTCTTTCATTATGAACTTCTTCTTCCTTCTTCAGATGAGTTCTTCTCATTATGAACTTTCTCTGGAAAAGATGATCCATCAAGTGATGAATTCAGGTAAAAGGTTGAACAAATTCTTCTCATTATGAACTTCTTCTTCCTTCTTCAGATGAGTTCTTCTCATTATGAACTTTCTCTGGAAAAGATGATCCATCAAGTGATGAATTCAGGTAAAAGGTTGAACAAATTCTTCTCATTATGAACTTCTTCTTCCTTCTTCAGATGAGTTCTTCTCATTATGAACTTTCTCTGGAAAAGATGATCCATCAAGTGATGAATTCAGGTAAAAGGTTGAACAAATTCTTCTCATTATGAACTTCTTCTTCCTTCTTCAGATGAGTTCTTCTCATTATGAACTTTCTCTGGAAAAGATGATCCATCAAGTGATGAATTCAGGTAAAAGGTTGAACAAATTCTTCTCATTATGAACTTCTTCTTCCTTCTTCAGATGAGTTCTTCTCATTATGAACTTTCTCTGGAAAAGATGATCCATCAAGTGATGAATTCAGGTAAAAGGTTGAACAAATTCTTCTCATTATGAACTTCTTCTTCCTTCTTCAGATGAGTTCTTCTCATTATGAACTTTCTCTGGAAAAGATGATCCATCAAGTGATGAATTCAGGTAAAAGGTTGAACAAATTCTTCTCATTATGAACTTCTTCTTCCTTCTTCAGATGAGTTCTTCTCATTATGAACTTTCTCTGGAAAAGATGATCCATCAAGTGATGAATTCAGGTAAAAGGTTGAACAAATTCTTCTCATTATGAACTTCTTCTTCCTTCTTCAGATGAGTTCTTCTCATTATGAACTTTCTCTGGAAAAGATGATCCATCAAGTGATGAATTCAGGTAAAAGGTTGAACAAATTCTTCTCATTATGAACTTCTTCTTCCTTCTTCAGATGAGTTCTTCTCATTATGAACTTTCTCTGGAAAAGATGATCCTTCAAATGATAAATTTGAATCTTTGCTAAAATTTTTGAAATTCCTGTTAGAAATTCAACAAAAATGAATGAAAATGCATCTATTTTTGCAAATGCCTAAATATGATGCATGAATATTAAGTTGTTTGATTTTAGACGGGTGAATTGAGTATTTCTTCAATTGTAAAAACCCAATATATCTGTCTTCTTCAAATCAAAGAATCTATCATCTTTGACAGATGTAGATGTAGATATAATGTCACAAAACCTCTTGAGAATAAAACTCAATAGTATAGGCTCTTGAAAAGCTTGCATTCTGGCAACATGTTGATTCTGATAACAACTTATCTGATTATGAAGTGACCTTTCAAGATGATTTCACAGATATCGATAGTTCTTCTAATACCGAGAAATCTTGAATTCTGAGGAGAATAAACTGTTATACTTGACAAAAATGAGATTCTCATGGGCTGAAACTTCAATAGCCCTGAAGAAATGTGGTCCAGATTCATCAATTGCAGAATTGGCAAATTTTATATGTGCTTCTCAAATGACTAAGGCTGCTGATGCACTTCTTCTGGTAAAAAATAGGAAGTCATTATGCAATGATCCTAATTATAAGCAAAGGCGAAACTTGGGCTATGTTTTTTTTGAAAAGGAAGCAGAGGAAGCTTGAAAAGGAGCTTCTTAATGAAGATAATCATGTAGTTCATCTTTCAATTCCAACGATTGGTTCTGGGGTTCCTACTGAATCAGATCAGATAACTCAAAGAACACTTCCAGAAGATGCTATGAACACATTCATCTTTTAAACTCAATGATTGTTTTGTCAAATCAGATCAAATAACTCAAAGAACACTTCCAGAAGATGCTATGAACACATTCATCTTCCAAATTCAATGATTGGTTTTGTCAAACCAGATCAGATAACTCAAAGAACACTTCCAGAAGATGCTATTGGCACATTCATCTTCCAAATTCCATGATTGGTTTTGTCAAACCAGATCAGATAACTCAAAGAACACTTCCAGAAGATGCTATTGGCACATTCATCTTCCAAATTCAATGATTGGTTCTGTCAAACCAGATCAGATAACTCAAAGAACACTTCCAGAAGATGCTATTGGCACATTCATCTTCCAAATTCCATGATTGGTTTTGTCAAACCAGATCAGATAACTCAAAGAACACTTCCAGAAGATGCTATTGGCACATTCATCTTCCAAATTCAATGATTGGTTCTGTCAAACCAGATCAGATAACTCAAAGAACACTTCCAGAAGATGCTATGAACACATTCATCTTCCAAATTCAATGATTGGTTTTGTCAAACCAGATCAGATAACTCAAAGAACACTTCCAGAAGATGCTATTGGCACATTCATCTTCCAAATTCAATGATTGGTTTTGTCAAACCAAATCAGATAACTCAAAGAACACTTCCAGAAGATGCTATTGGCACATTCATCTTCCAAATTCAATGATTGGTTCTGTCAAACCAGATCAGATAACTCAAAGAACACTTCCAGAAGATGCTTGATTCTGTCCAATTAGATCAGATAACTCAAAGAACACTTCCAGAAGATGCTATTGGTAAATTCATTTGTTCTATTTAATGTTTGGACTGGGATATCACAGTACTTATTCGATGTAAAGCCAGAATTTGTAGATTTGAAGCATTTCCATGCTATTACACTGAAAAGGGCTATATAATTCTGCCAATTAAAAACAAAGTTTCTCTTATTATGCTTCATCCATGTGCTGATGCTTTTCCATTGACAAAGAAATGATGGCTTTCTTGGAATCCTAGAACAAAGTTGAACTGTTTATAAACATGTACATGAAGTGCCAAATTGACAGAAAGGATCTGTAAGGCTTTTGAAGCTTATGACAATGAGCCACCTTCGAGTGTCCAGAAGTATGTTCTTGATGAGTGCTGAAAATGGAATCTAGTATGGGTTGGAAGGAATAAAGTTACTCCACTTGAACCTGATGAGGTGGAAATGCTTCTAGGTTTCCTTTAAAACCATATACAAGGATCTGTATAGAAACATGTTTCCTAGTGATATCAATGTCTTGTTTTTTTGCTGGAATCAGTACTGCAAAGATCATCTTCTACTGTTTTAGTATATCTTTGAAAACAGATGTGCAAGAACTGAATGGTGATCGGTTGGAGCAATTGATGAGTAGATTTGGCGGATTCGACCTTGTTGTCGGTAGCACCACTTGTAATAATCTTGATGTTCATGGCTTTAAGCTAGTGATGATTTGCCTACTTTGTATTCCATGTATTTAAAAGTATTAACATAAAGTGATATTCAGAAATCTTTAAATTATTTCAAAATTATGTTAATTCAATAGAAAAGAATAAATTGAATTTCCAAAAATAAATTTAATCTCAAATAAAATGAAACTGGAAATAGATAGAATTGTATTCAAAGTTATGGCAAGCATAAGAATGATAAAAATTCAAATGTCTCAACAAATTATAAGCATAAGTATTTCTAAATTAATCAAGTTGACACAATTTAGAGTAATGATGGAAACTTTTGTATGGAAGATCTCAAACGTTGTCAAAATGCTTGTGGATGTGAAGTTTCTTCCAAACTGTCAAAATCTTAAGAGAGTTCAATTGCCAGATGCCTAATATCAACTTGCATTTGAGCCGCCTTTTCAGGTTTTCAACTCAAATCCTTCCTTTGGTTACAAGATGCCCTTTGCGGGTTTTCACCTTGACCCCCTTTCTTTTTCTTCTCTTTTTTTTTATTTATTTTTTTTAATTTTTTTTTCTATTCTCTTCAAGCATAATATTTCTTGACAGAATCCGAGTTTATTGGATTTTTCAGAATTTTTCCATCCATTTCTGCCAAGATCAACGCTCCTCCGGAAAAGGCCTTTTTCACAACGTATGGCCCTTCCCAATTAGGCATCCATTTCCCACGGAAATCTTTATGTATAGGCAAGATCTTTTTTAGTACTAGATCACCCTCTTGGAATTCTCTTGGATGTACTTTCTTATCATGAGACTTCATCATCCGTTTTTGATACATCTGTCCATGGCAAATAGCTTTCAATCTTTTCTCTTCAATAAGGTTCAATTGATCAAATCTAGCTTGGATCCATTCAGATTCATCCAATTTTATTTCTCTCAATATTCGGAGCGATGGAATCTCAACTTTAATTGGTAAGACTGCTTCCATCCCGTAGACTAAAGAAAAAGGCGTTGCCCCAGTAGATGTTCGAACAGTAGTTCGGTATGCATATAGAGCAAAAGGTAACTTCTCGTGCCAATCTTTGTAAGTTTCAGTAGTCTTTGTAATGATTCTCTTGATGTTCTTATTTGCTGCTTCAACTGCCCCATTCATCTTTGGACGATATGCCACTGAATTTGCATGTTTGATCTTGAACTGTGCACAAAGTTCGGTCATCATTTTGTTGTTCAGGTTCAAAGCATTGTCTGTAATGATCCTCTCTGGTAGGCCATATCGACAAACTATCTCTTTCTTTATGAATTTGCAGACTGTGGACCTCTTAATATTAGTGTATGAAGCAGCTTCAACCCATTTGGTAAAATAATCAATTGCCACAAGAATGAAACAATGTCCATTCGATGCTTTTGGTGTGATTGCTCCAATGACATCTATTCCCCACATAGAAAATGGCCAGGGTGCTGTCATTACATGTAAAGGTGATGGGGGTACATGAATCTTGTCTGCATATATCTGGCATTTATGACATTTCCTTGCGTAATCAATGCAATCTGTGTACATAGTAGCCCAATAGTATCCATATCTCATTATTTTCTGGCCATGGAAAGACCATTTGCATGTGTTCCACATATTCCACTGTGTACTTCTTCAATGACATTTCGAGCTTCACTGGTATTTAAACATCTCAACAGCATTTGATCACTGCTTCTTCTATACATAATCTCTCCATCAAGAAAATATCCAGCAGCCATTCTTCTCAAGGTTCTTTTATCAATTTCTGTTGCATTTGGTGGATAACTTTGATTTTTGATATATTGCAGGATATCATGATACCATGGTTTACCATCTACCTCTTCTTCCACACTATAACAATGTGCAGGAATTTCATATACTTGCATTTTGATTGGCATCATATCAACCTTCTTAGTTGCTTGAAACATAGCAGCTAATGTAGCCAAAGCATCTGCCATTTGATTTTCTTCTCGAGGGAGATAATTGAAGGTAACTTTCTCAATTCTTTCACTAATTCGAGGGTAAAATTTCGATATTCCAACAATTTGGGATCTTTTGTTTCCCATTCTCCTCGCAATTGATACACCACTAACGATGAATCTCCATATATCTTGAGAAATTTGATTTTCCTTTCTATAGCTGCTTTCATCCCCATGACACAAGCTTCATATTCCGCCATGTTATTGGTGCAAAAGAACTCCAATCTACTCGTAAAGGGATAATAAATATTTTCAGGAGAAATTAACACTGCCCCGATTCCTCGTCCCAAAGCATTAGATGCTCCGTCAAAGTAAAGCTTCCAAGTTGCAAATGCATCATTTGTTTTGACTTCTTCATTCATGGATATGCATAACAGATCTTCATCGGGAAAATTAAAGTTCAAAGGCTGATAATCATTTGATACACGACTGGCCAAAAAATCAGCTATGACACTTCCTTTTATCGCTTTTTGGTTGACATATACAATATCAAACTCAGATAATAACATCTGCCATCTAGCCATTCTGCCTGTCAAAGCTGGTGATTCCATTAAGAACTTTAAAGGATCAAGTTTGGATATCAACCAAGTAGTATGGTATAACATATATTGTCTGAGTCTTCGAGTAGTCCACACCAAAGCACAACATAATTTTTGTATTGGTGGATATCGAACTTCACAATCGGTAAATTTCTTGCTCAGATAATAAATAACTTTTTCTTTCCTTCCTGATTCATCATGCTATCCTAGTACACATCCCATCGAATTTTCGAAGACCGTCAAGTAGAGAATTAATGGTCTATCAGGTATTGGTGATACTAAAATTGGGGCATTGGATAAATATTTCTTAATAATATCCAAAGTTTCTTGACATTCTTCATTCCAGACTTCAGGATTGTTCTTTCGAAGTAATTTGAACACTGGATCACATTTATCAGTTAATTGAGAAATGAACCGAGATATATAATTTAATCTTCCCAAAAAGCCTCGAACTTCCTTTTTTGTATTGGGTGGTGGAAGATCTTGAATTGCTTTGACTTTATCTGGATCAATCTCAATTCCTTTTTTGCTGACCACAAATCCCAAAAGTTTCCCAGAAGTTACTCCAAAAGTGCATTTAGCGGGGTTGAGCTTTAATTGATACTTCCTCAATCTCTGGAAAAGCTTCCTCAAATTTTGAATATGTTCTTTTTCAGTTCGGGATTTAGCAATCATGTCATCTACGTATACTTCAATCTCTTTGTGCATCATGTCATGAAACAAAGTTACCATGGCTCTTTGATATGTTGCCCCTGCATTTTTCAATCCAAATGGCATCACTTTATAACAGAATGTGCCCCACATGGTTATAAATGTTGTTTTTTCCATGTCTTCAGGATTCATTTTTATCTGATTATATCCTGAAAAGCCATCCATAAATGAAAACCATGCATGCCCTGCAGTATTGTCCACTAATGTGTCTATGTGGGGTAAGGGAAAACTATCTTTCGGACTAGCTTTGTTGAGATCTCTGTAATCCACGCACATTCGAACTTTTCCATTTTTCTTAGGTACGGGAACAATGTTGGCTACCCATTCTGGGTATTTAGATGCCTGTAGGAAACCTGCATTGATTTGTTTCATCACTTCTTCTTTGATTTGCAACAACATTTCTGGCCTCATTCTTCTGAGCTTTTGTTGAACCGGTTTATATTCTGGATTGATTGGAAGCTTGTGTATCACTATATCTGTGCTCAAACCAGGCATATCTTGATAAGACCATGCAAAGATATCTTTGAACTCTTGAAGGAGATTTATCAATTCTTGTTTTATCTGGACTGTCAGAGTAGTACCAATTTTCACCTCTTTTCTTTCTTCATCTGTTCCCAAATTCACAGTCTTAACCTCTTCTTTGTGGGGTAGAATTTGTTTGTCTTCTTTTTCTACCAATCTTAATAGTTCAGTAGGAACATCACATTCTAGTTCATCTTCACAACCATTGATTTCTTCCAGACATATAGGCTGCTCTAAATTTATCACTGGATTAAATCTAGGAATAAACATGCTATTAACACGGTGACACCTGCAAATTTAAGTCGGAACATTTCCGAAAGAATATAGTAAATTTATGAAAATAAATAAATGTAAAAATGTAAGAAAATATAAAGAATGATTGCCATCTGAAAATTTTAAAGAAAATTTCTTATATTTAACATAATTTCTTTTACAAGATAACAAAAAGTTTTCATATTTTTGAGCTAAACATAAAGATTAGTTCTGAATATTACTCTGCATTAATATTAAAAACTATAGGAAGATCTTCAGTGGTCCAATTGGTGAGGGTTTCTCCAGGAAGACATGGTCGAATCCTATCCAAGTACTTGCCAGTCTTGTTGTCATTTATGATCATGTTGATAAATAATCCATTCATAGCTTCTTCAACTATGTCTTGATCTTTCGTCAACTTTTCTTCTTTAAAGGCTTCAACAAGCTGCTGTTCCACATTAATTGTTCCCCCTGATCTGAATATGGTCTTCAACTGTGGGAAAGACATGTGTTTCCAAAGGATTTCTCCCCCTTTCAATTTTGCCTTTCTGTCTTCACATCTTCTTTTCATCTCTTTGTTCTTTT